AATTGAATATAGCTACTGTAAAATGCCTAGGAACTCCCCACTTAATGAAAATCGGAAAGAGCAAATTTCTGCCTATAAACTGGAAGGAAAATCTATAGGTTTCATTGCAAGAGAAAGGGGAAACAATGGTGTTTTCTGATGCGAAAAGTGTTAATTTGGATGGGCCCGACGGCTACCAGTGTTATTGGCGGGATTTAAGAAAGGAGAAGCAGCTGTTTTTTTAAAAAAAAGACCATTTGGAGGAGGATCTGTTATGGTTTGGGGAGTTTTATCTGTATCTAGAAAAGCAGATTTAGTAGTGGCGGAAGGAAAACAAAAGAAAACTCGATATATCAATGTGTTGGAAAAAGTCTTGTTCCATTTATGAATCGTCTAAACACCAATAATTATATTTTCCAAAAGGAAAACGCGGCCATATACACTTCTAAGCTCACGAATAACTGGTTTAAAAAAAAAATAGTTTTAGTCTGGCCCACTAAGTCTCTAGATTTATACCCAAAAGAAAATTTGTGGGGAATTTTGTTAAAAAGAGTATACAAAAATAAACCTCAATATGAAGATAGAGAAACTTTTAAATCTTGCATTAAACAGTATTGAAATGCAATTCCATGCGAAACTCTCAGTGTAAATACAAAACATGTGTGTTGAAGTATTACAATTAAAAGGGAATAAATATAAATATTGAATTTTTTTACAATTTTGCTGTTAAATACAAATTCTCAAAGCAGTCTTATGCTTATTTCCACTCTCGAAAATTTATTTTTATTAATAACTTCTTTTGGTGGAAAGTTGTTATAAAATCTAATATCTATACTAATACCATCGGATCTAGGTATCAGACACAAATTTTCAACGGAATTTGTGCAGTAATAAGAAAATTATTAACAATTTCATGGTGTGTCTTATATTTATTTCCATCTCTGTAATTGTTTTTATACGCATTTAAGGATTTAGTTTCTTTACTCATAGTTAATTTAATATATTTTGGGCTTTTATTCTCGTATATAAAGACCTTCAAGGATTTTAGGTTATTGCGTATTATTATTTATATCTAATAAAGATGTATTTTCAACTAACTATCCATCTTATCTGTGAATGTGGGCATGAGTGTTCATATAAATGCTTACTTGTTTAATTATACCCAGCCAAATGAAATGGATGCCTGTTAATTAGCATCACCGTAGTAAATCCAACGTATGTATCGATATTTTTTCAGAGATACAATCTCCTAAAAGGCATTTAAACTGATATAAAATATTGACTTTTTGCAAGATGTTACTTGGAGTAGAAGAAATGTTTAGGATAACTAGGTTTCTTGTATTAAATTTAGCATAATATATAATTAATTTTATTTTTTTACTTGGATCAGTGGGAAAGATATTATTGTTCATGAGACTTTTTAGAATTTTTCCTCCTGATTACAGCTGGAATTAAATTTTATTGCGATATAATAATTTGATATCTTTAGAGTTATTTGATATTGTGCTGTATTCATATTTACTTATGTTAATTTTCCTAATAGTTGTCTACTTTGTTCATCAGAAACATAATTAGCAAAGTCATCATTAATGAGGGTTTGTTTAATAAGTTTTTAATTCAGTGTATGAAATCGTTTTGTTGAAGAATTTGATTTTGCACGGTTTATTGTTTTACATAATAGCTATTTTGTAATAGTAAAGGCATACATTTTTATACTTGAAATTATATGTGTTTATACTAGTTGTTTTTTTATAAGGAGAGGTATTAAATGTTTTATAATACTTACTGTCTATCAATACACCGAGGAACGGAATTTGTTGGTCCTTTTTAAGTTCATATGTGAAATTAAGTACAGAGTTCTTTTTAAAGTTTTCTTGTAGTTCATGCCTTTCATTTATGCCTTTGACTAAAAGGAGAATGCCATACATATATTTTAGGTAAATGGAGGTTTTTTGTGGTATTAAGTGCATTATTTTCTAAATTAGTCATGAAAATTTGCTAAATGTTGGCCCAAGGAAGGAACCCATAGAGACACCATCGCATTCTACATAGATGCTATTTTTGTGGTCATAAAAAGGATCTTCTGCTGTGCACATCAAGAGTTTTTTAGTTAAACATTAGACCGAATTTTTAATGAAGGGAGAGATGGGTTGTTCTAGATAATGTTTTTGTTTATATTTATTGTTTCCCTGACTGGGTCGTTGGTAAATAAGCTTTTAACATCGAATGAGGTTAAAGTTTTATTACTGTTATTTTTGGGGTTTTTTTAATTCGGAGTAGTTTGTATGTTGATTTTATGCTGTATTTATTTGGAATGTAAGGTGTAATTAGTTGAGTGTTTTGTTTAGCTGCTAAACAGGCGTTGGTATTTGGGTGTATGTTAGGTAGGAGAAGAAACCTTGATTTATGTATTTTTACAGGTTATGTCTACATTATATAACCAAACTGTTTGATTGAAAATATGTTGGCTATATATATATATATATATATATATATATATATATATATATATATATATATATATATATATATATATATATACAAAAAAATAAAATATGTAATTTTATAGGAAGATTCTTACGTTATTGGGCTGGAATGTTCATAGACCAACTATGAACTGATGCTGGAGCTGGGGAATCTTCTATGCATTAATCATCCTCACTTCTTATTAATAATTGCATTGTTTTATTCCATCTGATTTTTCAAAGAAGACATAAAAATAAATGCTAACGACTTCTCGGGAAAATGAACAAAATTTAGCAATAAAGTTTTATCCATTATTTACAGATAAAGAGCTTAGCCGCCATAAACTTTCATGCTGGTATGGTTGCTACATTAGCTGATGACACTGCAAGTTTATCAACTGTGCAAAATGAGCAACTGTATTTAGTAGGGGAGGAGGAATTCTTGAAGATGACTGAAAGTCTTGACGTTCCGCAACTGTTATCAGTGAGGAAAACATTGTTCGTTTATGGGTGACAGGTGACTGACTATAAATGAAATAGCCAATGCTATTAGCATATCCCTTGAGAGAATTGAAATATTCTGCACTATGAGCATGGAAGGACGAAGGGGTCCATTCAGTTGGTGTAACGTCTTCTGACACCTGATAAAAAAAAACGCACCAGACTGATTATCTCATTGAAAAATCGGATACTGTTTGAGGCAGATACAGCTGGTTTACTTGAACGTTTCATAACCCAGGATTAGTGCTGATTATGATGAAAACGTCTACAACATTAATGGAGGGTACTATCTCAACTGGCTGGTTTAGGAAATCTGACGAATTAGGTCTTGTTTCATCAAGACAGTGATCTAGCATACAAGTCTTTGGTTTCAATGGATGTTGTTCAGGACTACAGCTTTGAACTGGCTGAACACTCTTCCTCTTCTCATGATTTTTCCGAATCTGATTATCCCGTGTCTCTCAACAGGATAAATATACTTGGTTCGGAACTAGTTTCGCAGTGATAACAACGGCATATCTGCTGTTAATGACATTTTGAGTAACATTATGAAAGCTTCTTCATCAGAGGGCTCCAAGCACTGCAACACTGTTGGTAGAAATGTTTGGACGGCAAAGCAGATTTGAAAAATAAATCTCTTTTGTTCTAATTCCATGAGAGTATCCTGGTCAGCCTATGAACTTTTCAACCAACTCTCTTACGTTCTTTTTAATATATCGTATAATAATTACAATTATCTATTTATTCCGTTTTTAGACATTCCTTTTTTATGCGAGTTCACCCCAAGAAAGGCACTATAGCCGCTAAGACCTAAAGGATTATTAGTTGTGAAAGAATTAGAGATAGAAACTTTAATAATGACTGAGAACTGAAAAAATTATCACGAAGACATTAGATAGCGATTGACATTGCATTTAAATTTGTGAAGATTAAAACTGGCTGTAAAGCATGGAGACGGAATGGTGAAAAGAAATTGTTATCATAAAATTTACAGTTCCATCTAGCAATTCAACTATAAATTGATGATATTTCTATGCTAATCTAGTACTGAGATTAAACTGAAAAAATCTAGATAATAAGGACCAGTAATATTGTTGATTATTATCTGAATTTTATCAAGGATCTCTAGATAAATAACTGGAGCACCAGGCCGTTTGTAGCAGCAATATTCTAACTATGGACAAATGGTAAACTTATAAATATGTTGGATAAATTCTGAAAAGAAAAATCGTCTCGAACCACACAGAGAACAAAATTTCTTAGCAGCTGACATAGCACTGGATTCAACATACGAAATACTAACTTGAGAAAACTTTCTTCCGACTATTACAAAGGCATATAATGATTATTTTAAATCATTGAATTAATATTGTTGTCTAGGAAGATGTAAACCCCAAATAGTTTAACTATTTTTGCTGGTATACTGTTTTATTAAAGACGATTTTTTAGGTGTTGACTTTCATTTCCTGTTAAGAGTTAAGACATCATGAAACAATAGTTTTCATACTTCAGCTGCAATGTGAGTTGAATTGATTTTTACGGTTTATCAACTTTTTCTGTGTTATTTCAGCTCGAAATATACGTCGGATTATACGAGAATTCTTTACAATATTCTGTGTATTGACTGGGATCGATAATGCTTAACTTCTGTAATCGAACGAGAACTTGTGTTTTCAACGCGATATGAACGTTAGCTTTCAGGCGTAAGACGATTCGGTAACATTTAATACAATAGAGTATAAGTAATGAAAATACGTTCCACGAGGACCTCGTACTTATGGTGTATTTTAGTAAAAAACAAAAATCTATATTTTCGCTAGTGAATTTAGAGATAAATCTTTCCTAAATATTTACTCTGCCAATTGTATTTGATTTTCACGTTTTATGTTATATGATTTGCTTGTTTCTTTATATATCTCAAGAGATGATTCGAATTCATCAATATTTTCAGCAGCGTGTTTTGAAATACGTTGCTTCTCTCTCTACATAGTTGTCAGAGAATTTATTCTTTTAGTTTGAAATATTCGCTAGAAAGTGACAAAAACAAAGGACAAATTAGATAGATAGATAGATAGATAGATAGATAGATAGATAGATAGATAGATATAGATAGATAGGTAGGTAGGTAGGTAGGTAGGTGTAAAAAGGTGAATGAAAGAGAAAATAGGGAAAGAATATACATATAAGGAAGAGAAAATGAAAAAGCAAGGTAGGAGTATAAGAAAGGCGAAATATTAATAGAGAGTAAGTGTTGATAAAAAAAAAGTTAAAGGAGATAGTGTGAGAGGAGAAAAGGAGAAAGTGAAAAAGCGTATAAACCAGAAAAAAGTTATCAAAAGAGAGCAGATATATGTGAATACATAAAAAGATAGAAAGAGACAGAAAGTTAAATGTGAATATTTGGAAGGTAGTGTTTATGGTTTGTGTGAAGAGGAGAACAGTTTGAGAGGAGGGAAAGATAGAAATAGAATAATTGTAAGAAGGAGGAATAAAGAAATACACAGTGATTGTGAGTTCTTAAAGGAAGGAAGAATGTGGGGTTTACATAACCAAAAAAAAAAAAAGAAGAAGAAAAAATGTAGAAGTAAAAGAAGGAAAACTGAGGATGAAAAAAAAGAAAAAAAGAGATAATAAAAATAAGGGACATCTGTCCAGAGAAATGTAATTCGAAACGGCTCATTAATGAATTCATACGATGATCAAATGCTTTAATTAAACAATAAACAGATTAGAGCCGACTAATTTGCTGCGTGAAGAAAGTAATTTGGGAAACGAATCTCAAGAGACTTATGTTGTCTCTTTGTGCAAAAAATAACCCGGAAAGAATAACTCAGATATGTAAATTTCCTGAGAAACTGACACTGGCACAAAACATTATGTACATTTCAATAGTCACTGAATCTTTTCGACAGCAAAGTGCGCATTGGTAAAGCAAATGCCTAATTCTCGATGTCGAGAGATAGACGTGGAGTGACAAATGTTTTTAAAGACACGCATTATTTAAATAGTTGTACTTTCGAAAATGTTTATGGTCCAACGGATAATTATATTTTTTCACATGTCCGTAAACAAATAAATTTTAAAATAATTCATTACACTATAAATTTTCTCCTTGTTTTTTTTCTTCTTTTTGTTTGTTTGTTTTTATTTAAAGTGAAATAATAAATGATCGTTAATATACGTAAATATTTTTAAATTTTCGTTTCAAGAACAGATCTATGATCCGAAATATATTTATAATGATTTCTTTTCATTCATTAGTTATGCAAACAACCACCTTGAGAATGTTGGGTATCTAAGCAGAGTTCATATCTAGCATAAAGCCGAATGTTTGGGGACACCCAGTGAGGATCTAACTTACTATTCTGCCGTAATTGATCTATCGAGAAAAGCCTGCTAAACATTAATCCACGTCGAAGAGCCCCAGTTCTTTGAGAATGAATGCAACAACATTATTTATACGTGGACTTTTTTTTCACATCATCGTTTTTGTTATCACAACGGTTCAGCCGCTGCATCCTTCGGCCTTCACCAGGTGCTTGTCGATCCGGTAACCTTCAAGGATATTTCGAATTAAATCTACGAGGATAATTGTTCTGGTTCCGCTGATCAAGTCTAGGGATATGAGTACGCACCACCCGACCCAGAGATTGAACTCGCAATTGTCCACAAATTTCTGACCTAACGTTTGAAAGAGGATATGGATTTTCTGTTGATTTTCAAAATAATATTTATCTCACCTCTGAATATATATGTCCCTAGCATAACCCCCCTCACAATAAGTACATTAGCCTCAGGAAAGAAAGGATAGTCGCTTACTTATATTTGTAGATTTGTTAAATATGGTAACAATTTTCAGTTCTTTGTTTTAATATCGAAGTAGGGAATTTAACAATATTTTTTAATGCCACATCCCTCAAAGCCATGACACTCTATTTCTTTATTGCATCTAAACTGCCATTCCTTTTAGGGAAATATTGTGGATTGTTTCCTCGTTGCCTTTTTTCACATTTCGGAATTCAGAGCTTTTGGTTGCCAACAAAGGTTATTAGGCCAGTCTTCCCTGTTATTTAACTGATAGCTGCAGGGGGAAAAAATGAATTCATGTCTTTCCCAAGAGCAAATATGAGCACCACTGAGTATTCCAGTATTTTAACTAGGCTCGTCAATTTCATATTTCCGTGTATATATCTGTAGACCTAACTGCAAAACTACAAACTTCCATAAAATCATGCTTTCTGCCTTTTATAGTATTAATAATATATTAACTTTCTTATAATAAATTTCAATTCAAACTTCATTCTTTTATAATTTATAATCATATTCCTTGTGTTTAATCGAATCAAAATGCACCAGTTGTACATTCGAGATATTGCATATATGAGTAAGAATAATAGCAATAATAATACATCTCAATGACACCTATCAAAATAAGTAAAATTACGTGAATGTATTTTGAAGTCAACAGGCTTCATGTCAAAAAGTGATCAGTAGTTGCCTTCAGCGACAATAGATTATCAGACACAGTGACCATGTTGAAAGGTGCTATACTTGAACATTAGTCGTCTGAACATGTATTAATTAACTAGACCACCTGTGGCCCGTTTGGTCAACTTTGTTGTGTTTACGGTTTACATTTATTTTCCTGAAGAGTTTGTGGAAGTAGTGATATTTTAAAAAATGCACTTATTTATTGAAGTTGTTTCCAACGTTAAAAAATTGTTTGTTTGAAGAAAGTTGAACAATAAGAGCTTGGAATGTCAAACTTCGTAGTGTTGAGATTCGATACAATAACAAAAAACATTGTTGCGAGACAGCGTGCAATTCGGCTGTTTAGAATAATCAAACGATTTTCATTGAAAGAATAAAATTCAGTAGAAAAGACAACGTAGTTTCAACAAATGAACATTAATTTAATATAACGGCAAGAATACAAGCAATTGATCATGGATTGGAAAGTAATGTCCTTTGGCTTGGGTGAATAAAATTCTGAAATAAAATATAAATTCTCTTTGTGCACGTATGTGAGAAACAATGAAATGTTGTTATATAACTGTGTGAAAAAGTCAAGACGTCTGTACGTGGTTCATAGCAAAGAGGATACAAGAGATAGGATTTATTTCTTTCTGTGGACGGTGTTGCCGTAGTCTGAAGCAGCCTCTTTGAAGTTTGTCAGCGCTGTTGCTTTTAGCACGAGGTCGTGAAGTTCACAAGAGAGAGTGGCGTGAACATTGATGTCACCTATAGGTATCCTGTTTGGGACTCGAAGTTTTATAGATTTTCTCGTAAGTAATTCGGCTCCATTCCCCACTTCCTACACGATAATAAATTTACATCTCTTTTCCCTCAAAACTCTCTATATATGACTTGTTTATATCTTTCTTTTCCCCACTCTCTATATATAAGTTCTGGTAAACACACAAGATACAAAATTCACTGAGTTATATATATATATATATATATATATATATGTATATAGTCTTAAGATGCGGTATATTTATGCGATAAAGTGCTCAATATCAGAGATAGAGCGTGTGTAAATATATATATATATATATATATATATATATATATATATATATATATATATATATATATATATTATAAAGTGCATTGAATGCAGGACAATCTCCTCACAGACGGAGAAGATACTTGAAACTACAGAAATATGTTTCTACAGGAGGATGCTACGAATTGCATGAGCGGAACATGTAACCAAAGAAGGAGTTTTAGAGGAAATAAAAAAAAATACGTACACTTAAGATGAGAAAGAGTCATTTGATATTTCTCGGTGACCTGATGACAAAAGATGGCTTTGAAAATGCAATACTCACAGAAGGAAACAGGACAGAGGAAGACAACGCATAAGCTACCCAGCGAACTTGTTTAAATGGACGGTAGAATAATGTTTAGGAGTGGTAACAAAAACACAAAATTTACAAAAGACAAGAAATTGTGGAGAGACATGATCGCTAATACTCTAAATGGATACGACGGATCCAAGAAGAAGATTAATCACACTAGGTGATTAAATATGAAATAATCTCGTTTTAATATTTAGTATTCGGTGTGTTCAGAAATTTTACAATATTAGACCTACGACCATATCAATTTAAAACAATAATCACCGAAGTTAAGAAATGTCGAGCCTGGTTAGTAACTAGATGGGTGACTACTTCGGAATACTACTTGTTATAAGCTTCGATATGTGGGTAATGTAATGGATAATGGATTGGAATTTGAAATCATTGAGTCGAGTTCCAATTCCAATCGGTATTGTTATATTCACTTATGCACAAATACCATTGGGAATAGTGTGAATCCACCTATGCTCTCCTCAGCTAGATGCTAATTAGTAGAACTTGTATCAGTAAATGATTATTATCTCTAAAAGATACGTATAATCTCCAAATAATTACTTGTTTTAAATAACTTCGAAAGATTGATAAGCCAAGAAAAGAAAATCCAATCTAATTATACTATGAGTAGCTTCTTCACTCGCTTTGAGATCCACACTCGCTTCGCCGTTATGGCAATGACCAGTTAGAACCGAGAAGACGGAAACGCAGTCTTCGTATATGTACGTTATTATTGGTTCCTTATCACATATATCCAAAGTAAGTGGATCAAACCATGAGAGAAATAAATTCCATGTCTGTTTAAAACCAGATTTTTTTTCTTTATCAAAATTGCAGACAAACGAAAAATCCACCCATTTAACTAAAAGACACGCAGTCGCAACTACCTAGCCACGATCGAAAGATATAATATAGAATGTTTCTCTGTAAAAGCTTTCTTTCTAGTCTAACCATTTTCTTCAAATGAAATGCTTTTCCGGTGGAATTTTATTATTTAATGGAGAAATGGTTATGGGAGTTGACTACTTAGGTAAATATAAAGCATTATAAAACGCGTCTTAATTGTAACATTGAAGTCAATATATATTTTCGTTATTTTCAATTCAGTATTTTTCGATATGAAAAATGTTCTTTTTCCTGTATCAGCAAATGCATCCATTAACTTACTGTGAGTGAGCCTGCAAACATATTAGATAATATATACTGTCGATTAAAGTAGAATGCATTTTCGTGTTTTAGGGTGCAGAATTGAAATACGCGTTACATCTATTGAAAGCAATATGCCTATTCAATGACTGAGGAAATCTTCGTATAGACTTATTGTACTCAGGACATTTAGCAGAATGAATTAGCTCAAATAAGATAGAAGGAATGAATAAAGGTCACCATGTGAATATATAGACGCGTAAATATTACAGCCTTACAAAAGTGAATGGTCATCATTGTTATTTTTTTTAAAACCGCGATGAAATATTGACCCAGTAATAATATGAAAATTCGTACTTACATGTTTCTCGGCCTGTTTATCTAAATACGCGTTTAACTTTTGTTCGAATCACTTTGCATAAATTGAGGCAGGTGTATAGCCGGCCATTCGTATTCGAGGATACTTGTCTACTAGGACAGACAATCACATATGCTCCTTGCTCAGGAGCATATGTGTTTATTCAACAAGGACAGATCTTAGAATTTCTGGAAATTAACGATGACTTGTCACTTCGTTCTAGCACAGCTATCGACGGCATCCAATTTCACTCACAAATCTTGGGTCAACCTGTGGTATGCTTTTCAGTGACTTTCCGCATGGGATCAATCCTTCCCTTCCTGTCAAATCAAGTGAGATTTTAAACCGGGTCACATGGTCAGAAGGTCCATAATTGAGTCAGATACGGAGATATATATATATATCGATACATCAAATTATCACGATTTATGAAAATCGGTTACTAAATATAAATAAGATTGTAGAAAAAGGGATTTTTTGTTTCATTGTGTGAATCCTGCATATGCCAAAAAACAAAAACAAAAAAAATGTGTATCTCAACATAAATATGCATTTATATTTAGATATAATAATGCTTGCCTGCTCGTTTTTCTTTTTTCTTTTTTTTTTTTTTTCGAGGAGAGCGTAGGGTGCGTAGCTTATCTCTGTTACAAGCACCCATTCAGGCACAATTGCAATTGTATTTCTTCGAACACCCACAGACCTAACCTTAATTGTTTAATACTGAAACTATGCTGAACAGACCTTACTTACAATTTCAAATAGAAAACAATAATGAAATACATTTCAAATAAGCTATGGTAACTTCTGCTTTTGCGCAAGCGCAAACGTTGAAAACTTCCGAACTGATTCGCTACACCATTGTAATCTTATTTTCATCTGTGCTATACCAGTTATGTACTTAACAACAGTACCACAAATGGAATCGCGTACTAGACCGATAGTTCGACAAATAGCGATATTCGAAACCAGTTCTATTCGTCGGAACGCGAACGTTCTAGCCACCCGAACAAGCGACGATATTACGTTTACATATGTGTACAAATTTCCATATGTATTACACCATGCGCATACACACACACATATATGTATCTCTCCTTCTTTTCATTTTAATAAAACTTGTTTGACTTGAAACTGAACGAGAATTGTTTATCTTTTATTGCTTTTTCAGTCTAAAAAAAGCGAGAGAAAAAAAATGATTAACACTAAGCTGTAAGTAAAGAAATTATATTGCCTTCAGCAAAAAGGACAGTCAAAAAATTTAAGCTTCGCATTGAAAACGTAAGAACGAAGCGTGTACAGAATATTAACTCTCTGGGTACTGGTATAGCATATGACAAAATTTTGACACCTGAATCGGAAAGCGAATTGAATTAGGGAGAAATGGAAATTGTAATATTAGTCGCTTACTTCCAAGAAAACATTCGACCTTCATTTACCGATCTGATGCTATTGCTGCTAGAAATACTAAAGATCCATCTATTAAAATATTTTTTCAAGAAAAAAGGTTTCTCAAGTCCACTCATTATTATCACTTTTTCCAGTACTGAATGTTGATTCCCTCTTAAACTTTTTAGCTTGAAATAAAGGAAGTTTTTAATGAGCAGTCCTCTGAGGACCAAATAATCAAAACAACTGCCTCTCCAAAGCTGACTTCTCGGTCCAATCCTCTATCTATTTTACCTTATATACTCCGATCATTTGTGAATATCTAAGCTGATGATTCAACGAGAAATGAAGAATATAGATGACCTGATCATTTCTGTAACCTACCAGCTCAGTGGCAGAAAAAAAAATGGTTGCTCACATTCACTGACTCGGAAACTGTTGTGGATTCCGAGATGAAATCCGGTACAAATAAATAACAAACGCCAAGAAGTAATATAGGAAAATAAATGCATTAATGTAATAATACAAACTGTGGGTTAGTAGCAATATATATATATATACAGTCTTTGTTATTGAAGTATCGCTGTATGCCTTCTTACTGAGTCTACGTGCTTGCTCATTGTGAGTCTTGCTGGCTACGTTCGTTCTGTCGGTTCTTCACGTTCTTGTTTTTTACTCTTCGCTTCTCCCGGGTAGTCACTATATGTATAACCCGGGTGAGTCCATTTATGTCAAAAGGGGAGAACCCCTCACTCAGGCCCCATACCTTGAGCGCCTATTGTAATTTAAACTCAACCCACGCCTCAAG